GATTTCTTTATTTTAGAGCCTGTCCACTGACCTTTTGCTCACATTTCACTCGATTTGATTAAATTACAGCAAACTTTCACTTAAAAAAAAATGGTAAAATCTATTATTTTAATTATTATTCTGTTTTACTCTTGAAAGGAATATTACCGGCAATTGCTTTTTTTTTATTGGAAATTTGTATAAGTAATACACTTATGAAGATAATTTTAATTGAATCTAGAGGTTTAAATAGTTTGGATGTAATTTATTAAAACTATTTATTAAAAGTTACGTACATCTGATTAGTAATAATTTTTTAAGCAAAATTATTTATTAGAGAAGAGTATTCAAGTGTTTATATTTAATAATATCTAGAATTGTCTAATCTACTTACAAACTACTTGATGTTGCTAAACGAAGCTAAATCAAGTTAAAAAGAGAAATTTAGATAAGTTTTTTTTTTTTAATTGAGTTAATTGAGTTGTTATACGTATATACTACGTATCACTATTCTAAATTTTTTTTTCTATTTAGAATGGATTGGGTTATTGTTATCGTTATATATATGGCATTTTTTTATTAATAATTGCAAAAATAATGTCCATAGTGTTAATCCACGCCATGTGGAATCACGCCTTTTCCTATTTTGTGCTAATTCAATATCACTCAGCATACTAAATAACTTATCCATATTATCAACTACCTGAGTAACATGGTTTAGGTTATTTGCTAGAAGCTCTTGTTCTAGATAGATGGCTATACATCTTATAGCTGCAATTTTTTGCTCACAGATTCGATGTATTTCAGAATCAAAAGTTTCTTCATCTTGATCCATTTCAACCAAATCACTATTTTGAGAAGTTAGAGAGGATTGGATTTCTACTTGTGAAATTATGGATTGTTGCATATTGGGCTCTTCTGGCATATATTCTTTAGTGGCATTCCAAATTAGAAAAGGATAAGTTTCTTGGCGTTTAAAGTTTCTATATAGCAATTGAATGCCTTGAGGGTCAAGTAATATTGCTTTATTGATTACACATTGTACTAAGTATTTACAAATTAGAAACCGGGAATTAAGAAAGTAGGGACAACTACATATCCAACATTCTAGTTTAATAAAATAACGAACATCATCACCATCACTAATTTGGTTTGTAGCCAATTGTTTCCAATTTTTTTTAAAATCAGTAAACCATGATAAAGCTATCCATTTCTCACAAATTTGATCAAGGTGAATAAGTTGATCAGGAATAAGGCGTATAGAAATAATCTATACAATATAATCCAGCTATGGTTGGTTAAATCTATGAAGGTAGCAATGCTTTATGGTTCTCCAATATGATTTGATTATCATATTCATTTTACTTAGTGGAATATTTATTTGTATTGATCGAGCCCAGAGTGACTATCTTGTAACTTTGTACTATGAAAACCATAGGTATGCCCAAAAAAGCGAAAGGTTATTTTTAAAACAGAAATTATATATTTCGCGAACAGCATTAATATAAATTTTCTTAGCTGTTAAAAATTTACCAGCAGCATTTACAAGAATTTTTGTATGTATATTAAAGTGTTTTTCTATAAGACTAATAGCTTGATCACGTAGTTCTGGTGGACATACAATATAGTAATCCGATTTCTGCTGATTTAAATCAGGCTTAAAAGAAGGGTTAATGAAATCAAATTTAGTGATTGCTTCATCAGGTTGGTACTGAGTACATTTAATTTTATTATGACTCTTTAGCTTTTCTTTTATTGCTTTTTTTATATGCCAAAAGCAAAGCTGCATGCTAATATTTGGCCATACTTCTATTGCAGCATTGATTTCAGCGAAATTCTTATCAGTAAAGAAGTATTGTGGCTGTAATTTCTTGTTATAAAGGGAATTAAAAAAACCATCAAGTGCTTTAGTTCAAAGGCCTACTTGTTTATTATCGAGAGCATTTGTGGTATTTAATAGCAAATACACAAGTGGAAACCCTATACCATCAGTATTACTAATAATCCCATAAAGCTCAAATCTCCCTCTAGCTGTTTTGTAAATTGCATCACAATGAATACTTGACACTAGCAAAAATTTAGTTAGTAAAGGGGTTGTGAATCCAATTGCTATAACTAAACTATCCCTTCACTCATAACAAAATTTGCTATTATTACTAGGATTTTCCAAAAAATAACATACAGAAGTAACTGGATCTTCATCTAATTTAAAAAAATGTTAATTAAAAACAGACCACCAATAATTAATTTACTTTGGAGTAACTTGTAAAATATCAAATTTCTGATGAAGATCTGATCGAATTTGTATAGGATCCATATAGATATTTAGCATAATTTCACATTTTATTTCTTCTGAAGTCATAACATTTACAGGCTTCTCATGCTGAATATCATGACTAAGTTTAATTTTTATTTCTTTTGCGTCTACATCTATATTAATAACTAATTTGCCATAACAATCAAATTGGATCATTCTTTTGCAATTTGATTTCTTATATTCAT